GTAGTTTATGTCCAATGCACTACACAAATTACTTTTTAAAGAGCATATTTACCGTTTTTTATGGTAAGCTTTACTAGATATTACAATAACGGTATCGTGTTATGTGAATTTATTGTTACGGATATTGTATGATGTATTGAACGATTATATTGATATTATATTATAATTTTATTTAGTCATAAAATCTAAACAAATACAACCATAAATATTAGTTTCAGTATAATAATATCATTTTGTCAGTGAGATCACAATAAATTTCTGAATGTGATCATTGTCAACTTATAAAACGGTTCGTGCCGAGATTATTCTTATATTCATGAAGTTAATACTAAAATAATGAAATAAATCGTCAATGAATTATTGAGATTTTCCTTCGTCATAAAACTGTTATCAGGCATTAAATTCCAGCACACTATAACATTATATTATTATTATACTTCTAAAATATTTTTAAGGTATAAATACTGATTTTCAGTTCACTGTAATCGACTTCGAGAGTCATAAAATGGCTCTTGAAATACCCAACAATCAGATAAAATTAATGGCTTATATTAAATTATTGTATTCAAATTTTTTTTTCCTTTCACGATAAAAAGAAAAATAATTTTATAAATTTATGGGAGTCGAACAAATTACGGGTTGTAAATATTGAAGGTAGGAATTCGTTTAAGTATGACCTAAAAATTAAATCATGATGAAAAGATAAAATAAAAGATATACTGAAGGTATAGTAATTTATACTGAGATTTCAAAATGGTAACATAAAATAATATTTTAATAAAAAACTGTTCAATATCGTTGTGTACGCAATATACGTGGATTTTGTGTAAAAAAAAAAAGACTATAAAATTACCATCGAAATAATTTCGGTGCAGTGAGTAACATACTTATACCGGTCGTAATTGAAATACGACAAATTAAAATATAACAAATTGGATATGAATTAAATGCATTAACGGTTACAATACAACGGTCATGGAGGTACATTGCCGCCATTTCAGATTTATTTCCAGACAAGTCAAACATTTTTACCGACTTTTTTTACAACTAATAAATATTTATTTTTCCCATGGTTTTTCATTTTAAAACATAGGTAATCCTTCCGGTTTCCACGATTGCACCAGAGTACTTTTTATCCGTATTGACCATATTATTTTAAATATTTATAAAATAAAAAAATCTGTACACAAAAATAATATAAATGTATACCTATGATACAAAAACAGTCAATATAACTGAAAACTAAAGAATTATTATTTTTATTACAAAATATAAAAAAAATATTAAATTATACAAATTATATTTTTATTAAAAGTTTATATTTTCTTTTCGGGAGACGCGCCGGCAGACAATAAAGGACCTCAGCCCTCGGCCCAGTAGGTCTTTAAAAATTAAACGGTGGAAAATTCCACCTTTGTCTCCCTTTCATCGCCCCTCCAAACAAAGCAACCGCTTTTATATTATACAATATTATCTAATATTGTCTTCATTTTTGACATTTTGACATTTGGAAGTCCCTGTATGTAACAGTTATAGGTATAGATATTGTTCAGTTTTTCCTCGGAAAAACAATCACGGAATCACGGTTCTATTTTCAACGTCAAGAACACAACACTGTCACTGGCCGTTCACCTTTTTTCTCGTCTCACAACGCGTTGTTTAACATCGATATTGAAGAAATACGAACCGTGTGTTTTCTTATAGATTATGAACTATTCACGGCACGTTGTTTCATCTGAACGTTATATTTTTTAGTGTAGTCCGGGAATGATTTCTTTACTGATTATTTTATGCGACCTTTCAAAACTGAAAGATTACGCACGACCCATTTCATTTTTAGGCCAATGAAAAAGAAAACAGGAAATAAGTGTGCACACTTCGCTCCACCGAGGGAAAAAATACACTGATTATGGTAATTTTTGGCTTTTCGTCGTGTGCCACTGGAAGACTTTTTTTTTTTTATAACAGTCTCCTTCCTTTTTGCACATAAATTCTCTCAAAATCAACAATTTTTCTTTTAGCCGTTTTACATTTTATATAATATTATATATATATATGTATTTTTTTTTATCAAACGGTTAAATTTCCAAACGACCGGTTGAATAATTCTAAGCGTTCCTATATATATATTATATTATATACGCATAGCAAGTCGAAGAGTAATGCGCATAAGTCACATCGCTATCACTATATACGACCACCGATGCGTATAAAGTCGATTTGTCGGAAGCGAAAAAAATTCACGAGGCATATAACCAACCTACCTATCTGCGGCAACAGCTAGTGACATAAATACTGCACGATAAGCACGCGGTATTATATCACGATGACATAATGTTGAACGGTGCGAACATACAAATAACGGGTGCACGGTGTAGGTACATATTATTATTGTTATATGTGTAATAGGTGCGAATTTTTAATGGTCGGTTTTTCCGGAGGGCCGTCGCAGATGTAATTTAGGAAAAGATTTAAATTCAACTGCCGCGCCGCACAGAAGCCTAGCCGTGATTAACCGTAAACCATTACACGCAGTTCTCCGGAAAGTTATCCGCGTGAGTACTATTAACTCACCCGTGATAATAAATCACACCGTCGACGTAATCGTTTGACCTGGACCCGGCGCAACCGCGGTGTATCACACCATATATACTAATATAATACGATATCCACAGGCTTTCTAGAAAGTAGAAACCATCAAATCCGCCGCGGAGCGCACCGTGTGAGTTTCGAGTTGTTTTTCTGTGAGTAAAAGCGTCCGTAAACACGACGAGGGCTACGGACTTGGTGTATTATCGAGCCTGCAAAATGTCCAAAATATATCGATGGTAGAAAATAGTTTCATTTTGAAAATGCGTTTGCGAACGAAAAGACAAAACATAATCGGTAAAACTGTGTGTTCGGTTGCAAACTCCACTAGTCATTTTTAAATCTTAACCGCCATTGTGAAAACGGAGCTCCACTTATACTTGTTTTTCAAACGCAATGATTTATTATTGTTTTAAAATTTAAATACACCCTTCCCGGCGGTTTATCCTGTTCCTGTATCTCTCTTTTTTATACCGGGGATGGCCGACTGAAAGTGACTCAAGGGCCATTTTTCAAAACTTAAAATGTTTGTGCCATATTAAAACACTATTTTTTTTAAGTGTATCATCGCATTTATCGTTAAAAACTAATTAACTCTCCTTTTAATATTTGTACATAAATAAAATGAATTGAGCATTTTTCAAAGTTTAAATTCGTATAGTATACAAATAGATGATTAATACATTGTCAAGCTATATACCTAATGTAAAATAATTAAAAAATAATAAAAAGAAAAACTATTGTGTTATTAGAAAGTAAATTATTTATTATGAAATAAATAATTCAAATAATTTAATTTTAAAAATTTTAAAAATTAATATATGACCAACATAGGAAAAATCTTTTTTTGAAATCAGTGGAATAGAATTATATAATATGATTAAATAGTAAATATATTTCGTATTGTGACAGTTTAAGAAAGATGACAGCCGAGTGCAACTCTAAGTTTTTTTTTTTTTTATTATTTATAGTGTGTTATAAGTATATAATTATTATGTTATATTTAGTATATTATATTATTTGTATCTACAATGACATGAAAAAAATCATCTAAAAAAGATGTGAACTGCACTGTATGCTATTTATAGTTTAGAATGTCTGCCACTGGATGTTTGTAAACGGCATTGCACACATCGTAGAATACGTCAATAGTCGTCGATCGTCACCCGCAGAGATCGTATATTTTACTCTATATTCCATACACTTTGGTGGCACGCATAATACGAGTCGTGCAGTTAAGTACACATTGAGTCGTAGATAAGCGTTTTTTTTTTTCCCCATACCATGAAAATACGATTTATGTTGGCGTTCATAAGTACATCAGCATTTGCTCGAAAAAAAATTTGTTTTTTTTTTGTAGTCTGTGAAATTCTTTTGTATGCATGTAATATGAACGATTGTTATATAAGAATATGGATTTAATCAAATTCACCACTTGAGTATAGAATATGAATAATTGTATTTATCCTCATTTTTTTATTTTTACAAATAGGTAAATACATAAGGTTTTACTATACTATCATAAAGTAAATTAATGTGTTTATAGTATTAACCCTCTACAAACATGTATACTACCTAGTTGAAATACCATCAATGGTTCCTATAATACCGTTTTTGAAAAAAAAAACTAATGCCACAATTTAAATACATTTGAAGTGATATATACTATACAACTGCAATTAAATAACAGTTTTGAGAAATAATATTATCAACATAAGTTTTAATTTCTCCAATGAAATTTCATATTTAAAAAATAGGAACCACTAAGAATCGTTTTTCGTATGCAACGATTTGTCATTAAGTTCAAATATAACTCTTAGATTACCTTGACTAACTCAATCATAAGGTACACTCGACACCTAAAACTCTACAGCAGAGCTGAGACTTAATTTATATTATAATGTTAGGTAATATATTTTATAATAGTAAAAAATAAAAGTTAGTTTTGAAAGTCTGTGCTTTTTTTTAAATTTTTTAAGTATGCAGTTCGAATAAATTTGACTTTAAATTTAATAATAATTAATTATTGGTAAATAACTACTAAAATAAAAAAAACTAAGAAATCTTTTGACTGAGAATAAGAGTTTACCAAAATTGTCTGTGAATATTATACAGCCGTTATTAGTCAAATAGGACATAGTATACAAAGTGTTTTTTTTTTTTAATATAATATATTTCTTAATATCACGTTTTATACAAAGGACTGCTTTTAATTTAATATTGATTTTCTAACAAAGTATTTCGTGTATAAAAAATGTTTTAATTATTTTAACTTGACTTATCGAAACGAAAGCATTAAAATCTTTTTTTATTAAACAATCGCGGCAAACCGTTATGCTTGTGGAACGGATATGTTGTTCTTATTGGAAGCAAACCGTGGCCGGCCGTTTAATAAACAAAGGTATTTTTACCTGGATGGTGAAGAGTCGTCGACAAAGGTTGAATTTAGCCATTTTCCGTTGATAAGCGTGCTGTTTGTTTAAAACACAGCTGAAAAGTGTGTTGAAAGTTTAAATGACTTGTGCAGTTTTGCAGCGTAAATATAGTGTTTGAATGCCGTCAACAATTTCCAGGCCACCTCGAAAAACGCAGCCATTATTTTCGAGCGTGTTCAACTGCTGTTGTTGTGTTGGTCGCCAAATTTCGTAAAGTGATATTAAAAAAAAAAAAAAAAAAATGCATATGTATACGTTAACACGAATAAATATACTGTAGGTTTACGAATAACATATGCAAGTGACAATCGTGGCAATTACAATAATTGCCGTTAAATCTATTCAGCTTTTTTTGCCTGCGCAGAGCCTCAACACATATTTTAACCCTTCGCACATAGGTATATATTATTTCATGGGTATATGTTTATATTTATACACAAACGCTTTTACTGCAAATCTCCGACACGGGATAATTGTTTGGTAATCGTAATGGTCACGGTTTGACACTGTTACATCCGGCGATCGTGGTAAAAAAAAAAATTGTAGGTACTCATCGGTTATTATAATATCGACTTTACAGCATACCTCCATGAGGACATTTAATGTCTTATAGATTGATATAACATTTTACAAATTAATAAAACAATATCATAATATAACTTATAAGCACTTGAATGTATATAATATTATTATAATATTGTGTAAACCTACGTTTGTATACGTATATATCGTTCATATTGTACTATTATTAACAATAACGTTGGGTCTGGTATTGTGTTATATTTGTACACCAATACCCATAAATACCTACGTAGGTAATACTACATTACGTTAATGAACACGTGTTCGGTAATTGCAGACAATTACATTTATGGGACAATATAAAATTAATCGTTTTGTAGTAACTGAGCTCCCTAAATGTTATTATTTTAGACGTTGGCGTAGTATATATCACAATGCCTACGTTATGTCATCTGCGTATTATGCTATCACTTATCAATTAGACGATTCGAAATAATCCAGTTATTCAGCCAAATAGACAATAAACGCATAATTACTAATTTCTCAGTGTGGGTATTATATTAACATATAAGTAGATTTAGGTATTACATGATATTAATCGTATTAAATATACAAAATAGGTACGTGCTTGCAGCCAGTTAAAAGGTTAAAGTTAAGTTCATTTTAGCTTTTAAAATTTAATTTACAAGATGCTTATGAACTGATTTTTATGGATATAAACTTAATAAATAACGAGTTACTTTTAATCAAATTTAAATTACATTAATTTATAAATGTCTAGTTGAATAATAAATATAGGTAATACAATTATTACTGACGATGCATATTGCATACTACATAAGCAATTGCAAAAATATAAAATTAAAAATTTAACCAGAATAGTTAAATAAAAAAAGCTTAAGTTAAGTTAATAAGTTAATTGTAAGTTTCCTTATAACTTTTAACTAAACTGAGTTTTTAAAAAAAAGTTATTTAACTATTAACTTTAAACTTTTTAAAGTGTTTTCTGTCTGCTTATCTTAATTCAATTAAAAATTATCATTAACTTGCCCAGGCTTGGTTATTTCACCCCTACTAATCGGCATTGATAGTTAACAAATAATAATAAATTCAACTCCGAAAGCTTTAAAGTTAATATGAGGAAAACATTATTTAAACTAAATGTTATCACTTATCACATTAAATGGTTAATAAGCCATGTTAAACAGAATTAGAAGCTATACTCGTCAGAATGTTTTATGATGTTATTAGAATGTGTGCAGAAATGAATACCATGAGCTGCAGTAATAATAATATAAAAATGGAAACTATCAAATGACAACTTTACAACAACTAAAGGTAATAATTATTTAAAATCAATACGATAGCTTTTTTTCATTTTTTTTAAGAGTAATTAAAACAAGCAAAACGAAATATTAAATTTTATTGATAATTGCATTGAGTAGCTTTTTGTGTTCTCACTATATTATGACATGGGTACATTAATTGCATACCCACAAGTCACAACACATTGAATTATTATTACAATGCAAATTTGATTGTATATAAATACATTATATAGCATCCTTAGCTATTTTTTTGCCATTACGCCGTTAACACTCTATTAATGAACATCTCTAAAAAATGGATAAATTATTGATTGTGGAGACTTTTAAATTCTCCATAAAAATACACGTTTAATATAAGATGTAGTAACCTCTTAATAATGATTAATGGATACTCGCGATCATAGTGGACGTGTACACTACAAACTGGTCCCAATTTAAAAATACTATCTAAACTATAGGTGCATAATATACCCATATTGTAGGTAATAACTAATAACAATTAATTTATCTTATATGAAAAAATACGATTGACAAATGGCCATCTTCATAGTACAATACAATTAACTTAGCTTGATAAATTAAAGTTACAATTATTGATAAATGAAAATGATCAGAATGTAAAATTTTGAAAATATAAGTTTCAAGTTGTCTAGAAGAAATGTTAAAGGTAGGACGGTGTGCATTTATATATATTTATTTATATATAACGAACAATAACAAAGAATAACAGAACTTTTCAAAGAAAACCTAAAATGTCAAATGATAATACATTCTTATATAAATAGATACTAATAAATAATATGCTTTTTCCTTTTATACTTTTAATGTACATAATACCTATACCTACAAAGAAACATTAAAAATCATTTTTTTTTTTCAATTGTGAACGCTTTTAAACTACCTACCTATCCGGACTGTCCACTCTACAGAGGTTTCACTGTATAACTATCTTTTATATCCTTGGACTCCAAACAATACTGAAAACCACGGTTTTGTAAAGTGTGATTATAATATTGTTCTCTAGCTCGTTCACACACCGCTAGGTAATAATAATGTGCACATCCCATATTTGTAATGTAGTCATCCCAAGGTAATCAGTGTTGTATTATCAGAATAACGTTGGGAGGTCAACATTTTGGCCCAAATAAAAATAATACTATTTGATGTTTAAATTATCTAATATTATATACTAGCTGATCCTGCACGATGTTGCCAGTGACAAATAGAATAAATCCAGTGCATTTACTCTGTATTATAAACTCTGTTGATAACAATTAAAGTACAAATTTCGTTGTTACATTTCCCCTTTTTCTTCTGGGCCACAGTATTTTTATAGAGCTATCCTCATACGCCATGAGTACCAATCCTGGTACTCACACGCCATTTCACACGTGATAACCGTCTGACCTTGATAAATAATAGTTTTTTTTTCGTGATTTCTTCACTGAGTACCATTATTGGTACTCAATAATCCAGAAAACATAAAACCGAGTGAGTACCATATTTGGCGTTAAAAATAATTTATGTTTTACAGACTATGCGTATTTCATACATCCCTGAGAAATGATTAAGATAAACATTCAGTAGATAATTTTAAGGAGCATCAGCACTCTCCCTTAAATTTGAGAATATCAATATGTCAGTGGCACAATGCGTTTTAATGTTGTATTTGTTTTTGACGTGTCTCCAAAGCACTTCTATCGTTTGAGTGTTTCGGCACCAGTTATTGGGTCAGTAACATTTTCCGAATGATTAACCGTCTTATGGACAGATCCATGTTCAATTTAAGTTGAATATTCCAGCTATTTATTAAAATAGATAGTAGGTAATACTTTGTATACACAACTTAATTTAATATAATTAATAATACAACCTAATTTTAATCAAACCAATATTGATTATTTGATGTAAGTTTATGTACCTACTTATATAGTTGGGAATGGATATTGTGAATAAATGATTAGTTCTTGAGTAATTATACAGGAAATATTACAAATACAACCTACTTTGAAATTTTTTAGTTGTATATTTAATAGTATATAAATATGCTAATATGCCATATATCCATTGTATTATATAATTAGATATATATAATAATATTATAATGTATACATAATACCTATCTTAATTATATATATTATAATCAACAGAGAACAATTAATTATTGAATCATTTTATCTTGTAAAATTAAATATATGAACATAAGCAACATGGTTTTTTTTTTGAGGACTTGACACATTTTTTTATATTTAAAAAATGTTGGTATTTTGAGAATTTCTAAAATATATTAAATGCACATTTTAATGCATTTAGTAGAATTTTATAAATACTTAAATTGCATTATAAACTGAACTTAAATTCGCAGCCTCAATAAATAGAAATATTACTATTTTCATATACACAATTTTAACAGTCTGCATAATATTATTTAAAATTCGTTTAGTCTGATGATAATTCGATTTGTATCCACACTGTCTGATTGTGTTCAATTGTTCATTTGTTCCGCAATGGTATTTATTGTTGAAATTAACAAATGATACACCTAACACAACTAGTTACTACAACAATAATATTAAACACCAACACTAATTTATCGTCCCTTATTGTAGGACTTACAACTATTACTACTGCAGCACTCGTGTTGTTTCTTGGCATTGTTGAAAACAAATATTTACTGTGAATGCGCGTACTTCATAATATTTTTACATTGAGTTGATTGGAAATAATTTTTATTGAAAAATTAAAATAAAAACACCACGATATTTTGCGTATTTTGAATCGTTCATTTTTTATTTTCGAAAGCAAAAATGTCCGAGAAAATCCGGCTTATAAACAAAAAGTGCAGGGAGAGAAAAAATGCCAATTTGGAAGACGCCCAGCGAGGGATGGTGAGGAACACAAACACTCTGCCGTAAATCCTAAAGTCTTATTTTTAATCCTGTGAACTATATCCCAGTATATACGGCAGGTTACACACATATATATATATTCGACTTGCTCCTATATGAAATCGTTTCTGACTAGATTTGGGGAGTTTGCACAGGAGGTTTTTTTTATGTTTGTAGTCCCGTGGTATGAAATTGGGGATTTACAATTTATTTACCTGGGTTTATATTATACTGTTTACCTTTGAAATTCATCTGGCTGCCAATCTCCTTGTTCATACAG